AAGGAGAGCCAATTTGGTGTAGTGGTTAAGCGCGCAGACTCTAATCTGGGAGAACCGGGTTTGTTTCTCCACTCCTCCACTTGCACCTGCTGGATGGCCTTGGGCATGCCGTGGTTCTGATAAGGGCTGTTCTTGAAAAAGAGCCGTTTCTGTCAGAGCTCTCTCAGCCCCATCTACCTCACAGGGTGTCTGTTGTGGGGAGGGGAAGGGAAAGGAGTTTGTAAGCCGCTCTGAGACTCCTTTGGGTAGTGAAGGGTGGGGTATCAATCCAATCTCCTCCTAACTGCTTCCCAGGCGTAGCAGCTAAAGTGCTGAACTGGGCGGGGTGTGTGTGTGTGCACAGGCCCAGGTTCAAATCCCCCATCTGCCACAGATCTGTTACTTGGCTGCTCTCTCTGGCCAGGATAATAGTTTGTGTTATGCAGACGGAAAAGGCTTCTGAGTGAACAAACTCTGTGAGCCTAGCAAGGATGATGGGCACTAAGACACTCCGGGCAACCTACCACAACTTGTCGGTATTTGGTGGTGGAAAGTGCTGTCCACTCGTGGCTGACTTCTGGCAACCCTGTTAGGTTTTCAAGGGCAAGAGACGGACAGAGGTGGTTTGCCCTTGCCTGTCTCTGTGTACCAACCCTGGGCTTTTTTGGCGGTCTCCCATCCAAGTACTAACCAGAGCTGACCTTGCTTAGCTGACAAGATCCAGTGGGAACAGGCTAACCTGGGCCATCCGTGTCGGGGCCGGGATTCACTGGCTGCTTTTTTGCAGCTCCTCTGTGCCCCCGACACTTCTCTGGGGCGTGATTATTTGGGATGCCTGAGAAGCTGGGCAAGAAGTGGGGAACGGAGTAAACCAAGTGGTCTTGCAGTTGACATGGGTGGGCTGGCGCTCTAGTTCACTTAAAGGGTAATGCACAGGTTAACATCCTTCTGCCATAGGACCAAAGGTAAAGGTAAAGGTTCCCTTGCTCGAAAGCCAGTCGAGTCCGACCCTAGGGTTGCGGTGCTCATCTACGTTTCCAAGCCGAAGAGCCAGCGCTGTCCGAAGACGTTTCTGTGGTCATGTGGCCAGCTAGACACCAAGGCGCACAGAACGCTGTTACCTTCCCACCAAAGTGGTACCTATTTATCTGCTTGCAATCCCTTGCTTTCGAATTGCTAGGTTGGCAGGAGCTGGAACTAGAGACGGGAGCTCACTCCGTCATGCGGCACACTCGGGTCTCGAACAATAGGACCAAAAGCACAAGATTAATATGCACACAGCCTCCAGCATTCACTGCTTGCTTTTGTCCCGTTTGCTTGCACCATATAGAGGGCACCAACGTGTTGGATGAGTTTTCAGTCCATCGGCTGAGCAGCCCTCTCCTCTCCATTGCTAAGCCTGGACCTTCGAGGGGACCCGATAGTTAGCATTGTGCACGAACGTCCTTGGCTTTCAGCGTGATGGGGTCCAGCCGCTTTCCTGAACACCTTTTCTGTTTTACAGACGCCGCCTGCAGCTGAATTCCAATCAAGCTTTCTTCTTACTGGTGAACGGACACAGCATGGTGAGCGTCTCGACGCCCATCTCGGAGGTATACGAAAGCGAGAAGGATGAAGACGGCTTCCTGTACATGGTGTATGCCTCTCAGGAAACATTTGGCACACAGCCCTCCATGTAAACCATCATAACCAGCGGCTCGTAGCCTAGGATAGTTTTTACCCCTCCCTCCCACAGGAAAAAAGAAAGGGATGTCACCCACCCGCTCACTGTAGTCGTGCTTAGTGGGTGTCCTCATCGTACCTTGTTTTGTTTGTGCATATTGGAACAGAGGAGTGCCGGGATGGACAGACGGCCCAGCTTGGTCAGCCTGCTCTCAGTCCGCACAGGCAGGTGCACGCTTTGTAGGCTCTGGAACCTGACGGAAATCGTACCATGTGTATTAAAGCTGCCAATAAAAGGGAAGTTTGAGTTACTGTAATCCTAGGAGCTGAGCTAACACTTAATAGCAAACTGAAACGCTTCGGTGTGACATCTCCTTCTGTTAAGCCCTACTCAGATCTCCTAACATTTTTTTCCCCCCGTCCCCCTCAAGAGGGAATAAGTCAGGATCTCTGTGCCTGGCCTCCTTTGCCAAGAGCTTTTTGCGTTGGTGTTTTAAGAGGTCATGGCTTGTGGTGGTAGGGAATTTTATTCTGCAGTAGAGTTTGCTAAATATTATCTATATATATATATATATCATGCACCACAGCTTTAAGTCTAGTTTTAGGGACTGTATATTTTAAAACTAGATTGTGCACTTAACAGTAACCATCTTGAGGGAATCTTCAGTCTAACCAGAATCTTCAGCATTTTGTCAGCTGTACCGTCCAAGCTGTACATCTGCCCTGCTTTGGTCTTCTGAACGATATTGGCATTGAAAGTGTGAGGCTTCGAAGGAACAGCAAGGCCACTCTGTGATCCTTAAAAGTGTCTCTTCCTGCTTTGTTCTCCAGCTTTATAAGAACAAAAAGGAGGCGAGCATTGCACCATTAAAGAAAACATTGGCTTTCAGCAGCATGAACCCCAAACTCTGGCCACAGAGTTCACCCCAATTAGTTGCATGACATTTGATTTTAGTGGGAGGGTGGATTTCCCCATGTCCAACCCTGAGGAATACCTAAACTCGCAAAGAGCAGGTGAACCGGTCTGTCACTGAAGCTTCCCGTCAGTTGTATGGGACTCACCATTTAATGTTGCTGCAAGCAGGATTATGTCCTGTGCAAAAGGGAAGATACTTCAGCGAAATGGCCTGCTTCCCGCTGATTGTACAGTGAAATGTAGCAGGCTGACTAAAACTGAACTCTTGTATAGTACCGTGTGTGAGCCGAAATGCATCCGTTCTAGAAACCTAATTTTTGCTAAGTGGGGGTGGGGGAGCAATGCTACATCTTGGCACACTGTTGGACATCAGTTATGTCTACAGTTTGTACCACTTGCATGCATACGCTTAGCGCTTGCTTCTGATTTTTAAAGCGTTCACTGTGAGCTTTCAACTTACTGTAAAATTTTATGAATAGCCTGTCTTCTGTTCAGCTAAAGATCTCTCTTGATAGACAAACATGCATATATAATCAACTACTTGATTCCTGTACATTTTTTTTTTAAAGTGCTGATCTGAATTATCCTGGTTTGATCTGAAGTTGGGGTGATTCACAGTTCTGTCTTTAGAAAGGTTCTAGTGCTGCATACCTGGACCCATTAGCCAGCTGTGCTTATTGTGGCAGCAGGGAGGATCCTGTGTGGTTAGGGGCACCGGCACGCAGACTGGAGGAGTCCCCTCGCACGGTCCACCGTTACAAAAGAAGCCAGCTTTTTCAAGAATTGGATTCAAAATGGCTACGGGGGTGGCCTGGCGTTAAAAAGAACTTCCTGGCAGAAGAGGCGGACTGGAAGACGGCCCAAGTTCTTGAATATCCCATCAGCGGCCGCCGCCGCCACTTTCTGAGGAAATGTGTGTTCACGGTTAGTCTTTGGTTGACTCTGCTGAATCTGGGTGGAAATACTAATCATTGAGGATGTCTGAAAAGACACTACAATGGTCTTTAATTACTCTTTTCAGTACATTAAATTTTACTCAGATAAAAACATCCTAAAAATGTACAATTTTACCTTTAACAAAGTATAATAAAACATAAAAATCCCAATACCAGAATACTTGACATTTACAATTCCAAATCAAATTAGGTGGATATTAAATATTTACAAAACTTTTTAATATTTATAAAGTTACATGCACATTCCCCCCCCCACCCATAATACTAGATGTAAAAAGAAATGGCTCAAAATGGGCTGAGGCGTTTCCTTCATTCCTAGAGGGAAGTTACGTCCTAAAAGAAACAGGCTCACCTGCCCTGTGAGAGGCAGGCTTCTCTTTCTACGTGTGTAAATGCGGAAATAGTCCCAAGGGTTGGTTACAACACTGACAAATTAGTTGGATGCCAGGAGCTTTTTGAATTAGTGCTGCTTTTACTCCTACCTTTGGCCACATCCAGCAAAGCAGTTCAGGCTGGTATAAATATGTTTGTTTTTTTAAAAAGGCCTTTACCAACTTGACAGCAAATTGCAGACGAAAGCTGCAGCATGTGGTATTGGGGGGGGGGGGGGGTTTCATGCTCTGGGATGGCATGAAATACAGGTGAGGGGAGCTTACAGGTACTTCAGAAAGGTCCTCCCTTCCATCAGGCACTGACCTAAGACAGCTTGTAGATGAGCTGTAATGTTTCCCATTAGCGAAGACCTAGCGGGAGTCGCACGATGCACCCACAGACATCTATGTCACTACTGTTAGTAGGCTCTGAACTACTTCTAGTGAAGTTTGCCATTAAGGTTAATAAGTAGAAGCTGTATTTCATCCCATCTACGCCAGGACTGCTGGTGGTTTTGCATTATGCTTCACCTTTTTCAGAAAAGGAGCTAAGCTGCATCTTTCCCAGATCCTTTTCATACACACAGACTCAAATCAGACAGTATTAATTTTTTTAATGTCCATTTCCTTATATGCTCGAGGTCTGATGTATGTTCCGCCTTGGTAAGGTAGTTTTTTAAAAAAACCAGTTCTTAGGCATGCTTTATACAGCTTCAAACAAATCCTTTTGGGAGTGAACAAAGTTTCTTTAAAATTTACCTAGGGGTAGTTTCACTTGCCCAAGATAATTTCTTCTGAAAGGTAAAAGGGGGCAGTTAAGAAAATGACCATTTTTAGATGAAGGAAAAATCTCAAATTTCTAAAGCCCTGATTGTAAGACATTTTAGCCAGTTTTTCCAGTTGAAGATGCCCAGTCAAGTTCATGATGAATATATTCATACACCATCGTTCCCCACAAAGTGCCACAGGTGAAGGCTTTTTGCTGCTCCCGAAAAATGCATGCTAATTTGTTTTCAAATGGAAACATTTGCCTTTCAGCACATATTCCGTGCCTTCTGGAGAGGCTAACCCTTAAGTGAAAGGTGCAAAACTGTGTGGCAAAACGTTCCTACTATTAAGGCAAAGTAAATTGCTCCGTCAGTTGTCATATCCCCTGTGATACAGTTTTACATGTCTCCTCCTGGCCACCATATATATTTTCACATTCAGTCATTCATGGCAAACAGTTGCTTAGATGTATTTTGCCTAAGCCAGGCTCTGGATGCAAATTGCATAGAAGTGACAAATGGTATTGTGGGCTACCAGAAACCTGATGATACAGCTTTGGACTCGGTTTCCATTAAGCCAAGAAACTGCATGAATCTCATGCTAAGTTTCCTCCCAGAGATATTTTTGAAAAAAACAGATGCCTCTGAGCAAAGTAATACACCAGGTTGTTCGTTTTGTGTTTCAAAGGCAACAAGGGAAGACCTGCTGCTCTGAAGAATAAGGTAGCGCTCACCCCGGGCATTACAGAAGAAAGCAAAAATCCTGGCCCTTGCTGCTACACAACTAAATTTACTGCCATCCAGAGCTATGATTGCCCCTGCCATACCTGGCAACAGCAAAGGAGCATTTATTACCAGATATACCTGCAGAATGGAGGCGTGGCCAAGGCCCTGGCACCTGTAGCTGCCATCAGCAATATCCATTTGCCACAACCACACCAGCTTATGCAACACGACCTGTGGGCACAGCAGTTTTAAGTTTCAGCTCCGTCACTGAAACAACGCAGCGCATGGCATTCGTGCACGGAATTTTCCTCCTTTTTGTAAGGAAGGTCCATATTATTTCTAGGCTGCCGTATGCACTGGCTGACTTCAGCCTAAGCGAATTTAAAGTTAGTGGAGAAGCGCACGCGGTAGCTAACGTCAAAGCTAATACTCTATTAGTGTCTTTTGATAAAGGAGACTGGGTGAGAACCCCTAATGAGAAAGACAAGCAGCACAGCTGCCCCCCCTTTCCTGTAGTGACTTCTGCTTCTTGTAGTGAAAGGCTATGCAATCTTTGCTGTGTTTACTAAAGCAACAGGTTGCAAACTACACTAAGGCAGAGTACTGTTTCCAGCAAAGGAAACCCAAGATACGGGCAACACGATTTTAGAAGTCAGAGAGGAAGAGTAACCTTTGGGAAAAGCGGGAGGTGGGGGGAAAGAGAAATGGTTTACAATTTTCAGCTCTGGCCTTAGACCCTTGGAAACTACATTTAAGCCGCGGCTGGTTAATGGAGTTCTGTTTAGGAATAAATGCTGACAAGCACAGCATAACCATTCCCAGCATTAACTGAAACTTCCACCATGGTTCTTTTGGGAGAGAGAGGAGAGAGGATTGAGATTTCTTTATTAGAAGTTCACATCGTCTGCTGGTGCCTGTTTTGCAATGTTTGGAAATCTGTTTCTCCCGCACTGGTCTCAGCGTATCCGTCTGCTAAAAACGCAGACATTCGGAACAGAATTATACATTCTTCTGTAGTGCAATCCTTTAAAATCCCAGAGTTTAGTGCCTGATTTGTTTGGAGAAAAAAGTAGACATTTTTTTTAAACCAAGCCTTGGCATGTCAAGTGTTCAGCCCGCGAGTGGCTGCTGCACCATCAACCTCTCGCTCGCCCTCCAGATTCCAACATAGCTGCCCGGGAGTTTTGAGTTTTCAGCCCCGGAAGTCCACGTAGGGCAACATTCTTCAGCGGGAAAAAAGTGCAGGAGCTTGTTTACGACAGAAAAGGTTAATTGGCCAGTTCCACCTGCCCTCGGAAAGGCCCAGCATTAAGATCCGTGTTATAATTTGGCAATTGGTAAAAATGGGTTGGATAAGCCCCCAGACTTCCGTTCCTTCCTAGTGTAGTGAAGTAGAGCACCTTTGGATTAAAAAAAAAAAAATACATTACGCTCAGCAAATGGACTTTTCAGGTTCCAATATGAAGCTTCCTAATTAGTCCAGGGGTTTTGCCATCACAAAGTATCAAGTCTGTGGAGTTAATGTCAGTCCGTGGAATCTAGACTTTCAGTGGGTGGAGCATATTTTAACCTAAATGTACCTGCAGGAAGAAGAAAAAGAAGTCAGCACCGCTCATTTTTCGTACAGGCTAGATCACACAGCAGTTCAGACCCAACTAAAATGGCAGATGGCAACCAGTGTAACATAAGATACAGACTTTCCTAAAAGAAGCTGAAGAAGGTAGCTTATTGGTTTGGAAGCCTGCAATCTCAAACCCTCCAGCTAAGGGCCAAAATTAACCCCTTCAGCCCTGACAAGGCTTGCTGGGCTGTGGATCCTCATCTCCTGCCATTTAGAACTCTCAGATTTGCTTCTGGCCCTCTCACTGCTCATGCTCAGGAAAGACAAAAGCACAAACAACAGGAAGCCATTTGCAGAACTACAGTGAATGCCAGTAGGGCACCTGCAGGCCTGGCCTGTGTTTAAATTACTGGCAGATGCTCCCATGTCCGTCTCCCCCTTCCTCAAACGGAGAGACGCACATTTTGAATGGTCTCCCAGCTCCACCCAGCACAAGCCTCACCTTGTCTGTTGAAGTCCATTGGTGGCTGTTTGCAATCTTGAGCTCTGTGACCGCTGGCTCCACAGTTGTAACAGGAGAGATGCCCGTTTTTTTTGTGGCCCATACTGCTGCTGTTGCTCATCATCCCCTGCGCCTGATACACCCCTGCTGTCCCCGCCATGAAGCTCTGCATGGGTGGGACTGCAAACGTGGACTGCCCGCTCATGACCGAGTCCGGTGCGAGGCCACCGTTGTAAGGAGAGGGGGCCATGGGAAAAGCCGAGCTGCTGTTGTACTGCTGCGTGTTGACGTAGCCGTTGCTGCACAGAGGGCTGAAGGGCAAGAAGGGGAAAGGAAACATGGACGGTCCGGGAAAGGGGTGCTGGAAGTAGTTGGCGTAACTGACCGTCAGGCCACTCGACCCGCAGTTGCCGCTGCAGCCACAGGAGCTGCAGACCATGCAACCAGGAGGCTGCTGCTGATGGTGGTGGTGATGGTGGTGCGTCTGACTGGGCACTGGGATGCTCCCTGGCGAGCCGCCGCCACCGTTGTAGTAACTGTTCTCGGCAGGGGTGGAAAGGGTGGGGCTGGAACTGGGGGCGGGGCAACTGGGCAGGTTGGTCATGTGTGGGAAGGCTGTGGAGGGATGGCTGCTGGAGGAGGCAGTGTTGCTGTTCGCACAGAAGCTGCTGCTGCTGCTGGGCAGCGGGGCGACTGGCAGGCTGCTCATGGCAGAAAAGGCCACTTTGGTGTTGGCTGTGTAGAGAGCAGTCCGGGGAGTTATTATTGCTGGGGACACGCTGAATTGCATATTACTGGAGCAGGAGCTCTGCCCCGCGATCGTCGAATCGGTCGGAACGGAAGAGGACACCAGGAGCTTGATGGGCTGTCGTGCCATGTGGAAGACTGCGCTGGAGGTGACGGGGGCCGTAGTGCTCGTCTCCACAATCATTCCTGGCTGCTGGGCTGTTTTCACCATTCTGTCGAGGGTGGAAGCGTGAACCACTTTGGTGCGCGGGCCAAAGTTCAGGGAAGGGGCCAATGAACCATTTTCCGGTACTCCTGAGGGCACTTGCAAGGGCTGATGGGGAGACGCCGACATCCCGTCCATTACTGTGTTTCCAAAGCTCTTCTCCATCTTGATGCTGCTTCGGGGGGGTCCAGGCGAGAATTTTGTCCTGTCGTCCAAAGACAGGAGTGAGTGCATAGAGGATGAAAGGAGCTTCATGTCTGTACTC